CATGAGAAGCTTAAGCATGATTTGCTAAAGAAAGAACTGGAAGATGTCAAAAACAACAATTTCATAAAAATTGATAACCACTCAAAAAGATGGAATTAAATGGTACCTTATATATATATATATATCTTGCTTACAATTGTCAACTTGGATCTTTTGCTCAGTAACAAATGTGGTTTCACCTTTCAAATCACCTTAATTACCTGCAAAGCAAAAAGATCAGCCATGTTTTGGTGGGAAACAAATTTCTGATCCTACCTACCACGGTTATACCATTTTGTCATGTGTCAATAAACTCTGGGATTCGTAATCATTTGTTTCTTCTTCATTTCCACTATATATATATATATATATATATATATATATATATATATATATATATATATCCACTAACAGATAATGTTTATGATGCAGAATGGTGCAATATCAAATTGATCAAAACCAAATCATCATTCCAACTGAACTGAACAATTTAAAAAGAAATGGAATCAAATTGTAGCGAGCCACTCGAATTGTAACTAAATAAGACATTGATCATGAAACCAAAACTCAGCCTAATTTGATATTATATCTTTCATTAAATTTGCATAAATTTATCTTTAATTTTTTAAAAATTAATTAATTTTTTTATTTTTAATGAATATATTACTTGAAAAGAAGGTATTTTTTTCAAAAGTATTTTATTAATTTTTTATCAATATATTGTATTAAAAAAAAAAGATATATATATATTTTTTTTACGATAAAAATGTTTAAATTGGTTATAATATGTTTTATTATAAATAATAAAATTTTAATAATAAATTTATTAATTTAGAAAATAGTAGTTACTAATCTATTTATCTTCTTTTTTTTTTCATTATTATGATAAATTGATACTAAAAATAATATTAAGGTAAATAGTATAATTAATATTTACATAAGAGAAAAAATAAGAAAAATTAAGGTATATATATATATATATATATATTAAACTAAATCTAGTAAAACTTTATTGGTTTTATGAAATAATCTTTGATGTCTGCAATTAAATAATTATTTTTTTAATAAATATAATAATAAAAGAAAATTGACGATGAGATTGCATAAATATATGTTAGCTAATTGTTGATCATGAAATAAAAAATTCCTTTAAACTCGTCTGTCATGCAGTTTTGGGTGAGAGATCCTTTTTCAGATTGGTCTCCATTTAGATTATGTGGTGTCTTATTCAAAATCAATTGAAAAAACTTGTGTGACAGAAATTGAAAAACAAATGATCATTAAAGAAAAAGTTTCAATAATTTTTCTTTTTCTTAAAAATAAAATAGTGCCTCATGACCAACATGGAATATAATCAGACCCTTTGACCTCTGCCCCATGTCCTATAGACCGTATGCCCATTTCTATGTACGTTACCTAATATCTTTAATTACCTCAATACTGCAATGCAATGTCAGTGGTTTCTTTGAATTCTTTCTATTTCCATCAAATAATTAAATTAAAATATGCAATAATTTCTCATTTTTGTATGAGTCAACTTCTGCTTCCTTGGTTTTAAGATTCTAACCTCAAAACGTTTCAACCAAACAATTACCCAACAATATCTGCCCGCAAGCAAAGCACCAATCTGGTGAAAACACTATATATATATATATATATAAGGTTAAAATGCAAAAAAACCCCTGAACTGCTAAAATTACAACTAATCTCCTGAACTCTGCAATTTTGTTATAGATTGGGACATCCGTCACTATTCCGGTTGGATTTGTCACTGTTCCGATCAGATCTTACCCTTAAAGTGACCATGTAATGGCACATGACATACACTATAATTTTAATGATTATAATAACCTCGTGAGCAAGAAAAGACACTAATATCCCTTATTGTAACTATTAAACTCAAACACTTTTTAAATGCTCCAAACACACCCTTATGTCTATATATATATATATATAGTTATAAATTACTGTTTATCTTCTTCACAAAGGGCATGATTGAAAAAAAAAATTTAATATTCGTGATCGATCACCTTCTTTCTCTCTGTGTGTAAAAATTGCAGATCAATGAAAGATTTTTCATACGAAGTGTAGGGAAGAAACAATTGCATGTTGGAGAAGGCAAAACTCAGAGGAAGAGGCGGTAACAAGAGCAGTGGCAGTGAATTTGTGGGGTTTGATTGGGTTTAATTGTGTATGATTTAGCCTAAAATGTTTCCAAATCGATGGAAAGAAAGGATTTTTTTTCCTTTTTTTTTTCCTGAAGATAAGGTTGCTTTGTTGTTGCAATTTGATTGGTGTCTGAAATTATGATTGCCACGTTATCAAGTTAAGGGTATAAGTTTCAAAACTACGTAGTTTTAAACAAAGGTAAATTTGTCTTTTACTATTTCCGTCCAAGTCAACTACCGGAATGCAACAAATCAATAGTTTAGGGAGTTTCTTGTAACAAATTAATAGTTTAGGGAATTTTTTTTGTAGTTCAAGAAGGTTTGTTGCAAAATGCCAATCATTTAAGGAGATTTATTTCATTTTACCGTGTATATATATATATGTCACCACTTTCAGCACTAGTCAAGAAGTGAAAAAAACTAGTAGTCTTTGTGTGTGTGAAATTTGGAGAGCCTTATCACTTGGGCAACTCACCACTGGAAGGGCATCTCCAACTCCCATAGCCACATTATTTCGAAGTTGAGCTTGGCAGTATTGGTTTACCACACTTGGACTGAACGAAATAGAAGAATTTTTCAAAAGAAAGCCATCACAGCCAACGCGCGCTCTGCTCCACCAAACCCTGGAATCAATTAGGAGCAGACTTCTCACCTCCACAATTAGAGATACTCCAAATGCATCATGGATTGTGGGACACCCCTATCACCATAATCCATCCACTACTTCCTTCACCAGAGCCACCAGATCAGGCACCGTGATGATAAATTGATTGGAGTTCTTCTCTTTTGTATCGGAATTTGGGGTAGTCTTTATGGTCTACCATTCTTTGGTCTCGCTCCACTACGAGCCTAATTCATGGGTTATCTTCTTCTTTTATCTATGTTTGTATGTTCTCTTGGGCTTGGCCCATCACCCATCTGGTTGGCTATTGCTAGCCTTGTATCCTCTTTCTTCAATGAAATTTATCTTTTATCTTTAAAATATATATATTTTCCCAAGTAAGTTTAGGTTGGTTTCGGCCGAAGGCCTTTCACTGTACATTTTACTCTATTAAATATTTAGCTTATTTGTGTATTAAACTGTTAATGTATATTTTTGTTAATTTTGGATAATACTACAAATTAACATCGTGTTTTTAAGCATATACTTAGATTATAGTACTACGTCACAAACAATATAATGGTGTGCTACATAATAGATAGATATAAAATAATGTTAACAAGCTTAGTTGATAATTCATACGGTTAAATATGCGTGTGTGTGTTTGTGTATATATATATTAAGGTTTGAGAATTGAGACTCATATCCAAAATTAATTTTTGGCAATTCTAGTAAGCAAGTTTTGGCTCTGATTAATTAATGCGTATATGTGTGAGCCAAGAAACTTGCATCCACGTGGTAGCACTTCAAAGTTCATGGTCAAGTCTCCTGTTCTAATAGTAAATAACTTTTTTATCTGAATAATTGCTTTGACAATAAATAGAATGGTTTGATATTTAACTAATTTGTATGTTTGTGAATATGCCAAGAATTGAACTATTTACAAATTACCCCACTTGGGGTTGTGAGGTGTTCTTTAATTCAGTATTATAAATTTAAGTATAAAATTTTAAAAGCTGGATAATAAATAAAGAATGCACTAAATTGAATTATCTTCAAATAAAGAATGTACTAAATTTTAAAAAGTTTGGGGCATGTTTGGTTTGTAACTCTGAAAAGAATTCAGAGTGCTAGTTTGGTGTGGTGGAATGAATTGAAATGAAATGAGAATGGAGGTGGGAATAAAATGAGAATGGAATGAAATGATCATTCCTTTTGTTTAAAGGTGGAATTATTTTGATAGAATGACCATTCTCCAAGAATAGTAGGAATGATGATTCCAACTTTAAAATTGACACCAAATACGATAATGGAAAAAAAATCATTTCATTCCATTTTCTTTTATTTCATTCCACCACACCAAACTAGCCGAATCTCGCCGACCTAAATGTCAGTCAAGCGCGAACAAAATATAAAACAATTTTCAGATAATTATAAAAGGCATTTATTTGAAAACACGTATTTTTATAACCGATTTTTCAAAAAACAGTTTTTAATAAATTGTTTTCTAATTTTAGTTTTTTAAAAACAGAAAACTATTATCAAAATTACAAACCAAGCCTACCCTTAGTTTTTATATTTGTCAATAAATTATTTTTTATACACTACTCTTTTTTAGCATATATGTGTGTATATATATATATATTTTAAAAGTTAAAGAATTCACTCAGATACCCTACTTCCACCTATAAATAATATTTTTGCTAAATACAATTACATTGTCATGTACTTGTATTCTTATTTTGAAGTTATACATGAAATTACATATATTGACTTAAATAAGAAGAATAGAAATAAAAAGAACAATATTTTAAGAAATGGAAAACAAAAAAAGATGCCCAAAAAAAAAAAAAAAAAAAATAGAGAAATGTGAAGGAAAAAAAAAATAGAGTTTAATTGAAGAAATTTTTTTTTTCATAAGAAGTCAAAGAAATTTTGAAAGTAGAAATGAAACGAAAGAAATATTAAGAGGGGCATGAGATAAATAAAAGGGGCACATAACTGTATGGATTTTAATTGGCTCCGCCCAAATATATGAATCTGTAATAAGATTTTGAGATAATTGAAACTAGAAAAAAATCCTTAACCGGAACGAGTAATATCGAATTTGATGACCTAAATCACAGGGATAAAAAACTTTAAACGGTGTGTCAAACTTTAGATGCGAATAAACAATATAACTATAATAAGGTTTCACACAGTTTCTGTACACTCTAAGTTTGTGGCCACGTCATAGTTGAGAGAACCAGTGTGATTCCAAAACTTAATTGAAATCCAGTTCAAAGTCCGTCCAATTGGGTGAGCCTCTCATACACAGTCACACGTACAGAGAAAAAGTCCGTCAATGTCGTCTTCAAGACCTCTCACCACCGCGTCAAGATTGTTTCCCTGTCCCTCCGCCGCCTCCAGCACCACCACCGCCTCACACATTTTAATCCCTTCGCCCCCAGTCCATATTCCGAAGACCCCTTCGGTACTCATCTTCTTCTCACGTCTTTACAATCTATATCTATATCTATATCTATATATATATATATATATGATTGGGTACCGTGTTAATGGTTATAGATAGGAGTGGCTGAACAGAATGGTGCTCCGAGAAAGGTATGTGATAAGACAATGGTGAATGACAGCTTCTGTGTTGTCAGATGGGACCTGCCCGGCATAGCCTCAGAGGATCTGAAAATTTGGGTGAACGAGAAGAAAGAATTAGTGTTGGAGGGAAAGATCAAGGGCAAGCCCAAGTATGAGTATCGTAGAGGCGACTACAGTGGCGCCATGCCAGGCATTTCAGAGCTCTTCCATGTGGACCTGTTCACGGCTGAGTTGAAACATGGTGCCCTCTGGATTATCCTTCCACTCACCGAAATGGCCAAGAAGGCCATGAAGTGGGAACGCGAAGTCTTGGGGAAAAGTGAGCTTTGATCCATCCCTCTTTGATACGGATATTAGGGGTTTTGGGTTTATAATTCTATCAATTAATCCTTTGATTTAATTGGTTCCTTTTTCGGAATTTCTGTATGCTTATCCATTAATTGATGTGTTTGCGTTTTTGGATATATATGTGTGTTGAATGCATGAATGTTTTTAGTGAGTGATTCAACCCTTTTCTCAGTCTAAGTTGATCTTGTACTGACAAGGTTAATTTCTGGTTTAATTATGTGCTCTATCTTGATGTTTAATTACTTTTGCTTTCATTTTGTTGCAACTGTGTTATTGTATATACATTCAGACATCCATATTTCATATTTAATTACTTGTGTTTTATTTTTTGATTTTCTTTTCCCATCTGTTAAAAGGTATATATTTATGTTGAATGGATGAATGTTTTTAGTGAGTGATTCAAGCCTTCTTCTCAGTCTAAACTGATCTTGCAATGAAAAGGTCAATTTGTGGTTAAATTTTGATGTGCTATGTATTGATTTCATATTTAATTACTTTTGCTTTTATTTTGTTGTAACTGTGCTATTGTATATACATTCAGATATGCATATTTCATATTTAAGTACTTTTGGTTTAATTTTGTCGCAATTTTGCTATTGTAAATACATTCAGACATACATATTTCATATTTAATTACTTTTGTTCTATTTTGTGTGTGCTAAATTGCTAATGTATATATTTCGATCAAATTTAGATGCTATATTTACCTATTTATTACAAGGATATATGTTATCAATTTTAGGAGAAATTTTGTTTTGATTTTGTGTTCCGTCTGTTAAAAGAATACCTTACATTCTTATTATTTGGATTAAATTTTTACCCATTTATTGTTGCTGCTTATTGAACATATCAGAAATTTAAATTTTAACCGATTAATTGTGTGTGTGTGTTTATGTATACTTCTTCCTTTGTGCCTTTTGACCAAAAATAAAAATTGTATATATCTTCCTCTGTTCTTTACATATTCAGCCAGTATTTTGCTCAAATCCAACTTGAAGCTAAGCTGGATTTCTGTCAGGGTCCATATGGTTGGAGTTTCACTGCAATTACTATTAGTAGCTTGTGTATGAACTTTTAGTAGCTTATGTTAATCTGCAAAAAATAGAACTTCTGGTTTAATTTCAGGGAAGAGCTCTGATTTCAATGTTTGATGGAGGAGAAGGCTACTGCAATTCAACAAAGTAACTGGCTTCGTCAGGAATTGGTGAGGGATTCATATATGACTTCATTCTATACTATTTTATATTCTTCTTTATTATTTTTCTTATAATTACATCTTGCATTCATGAGTTTTTAAGGTGGAATACTTCTAATGTCCTTTCAACATGGTATCTTTGTCTCCCTGCCTCATGTCCAAGTTATCTTTTTCAGTGTTTTGATCATCATGTATATCTTTATATGAATATATATATATTTATATGTATGCATGTATTTTTGGTGTCAGTGATTTAGCAAAAGGGCATAAGGCTAGAAATACGTAAGTTACATTCTATAAAGAATCATTGTATGGGATAAAGCAATGTTTTCGAATACCAGAAGAGGACCAAACAGCTCTATAATAGTCCCAAAGCCTATGGTGATTTCTGAAGCTATCATAAGCATCCTTAACAACAAATGGTTTATTAGAGGTAGCCAAAACCAAGAGTGTGAGAAACAAAAATTGCTTCTTTCCACAACATCTGTTCTTTAATTGTTTTTTCCCATAAAGTTTGGAATTCAGTGGCTGAGGCAATTTCTCTCAACTGGCATGGCATGACGAATTTGAATGATATTATTGCTTGGACTTCTGCTAACTGTCAGGTTAAGAAGAATTGGTCCCATCAGCTGCACAAAATTTCCCTTGCTTGTTGTGTCTACATGATCTGGGATGAGAGAAATAATAGGAGATTGTCCAATGCCTTCTCAAATGAATGCTCTGTGGCTCTTCAGGTTTATAATTCCCTTAGACTTAGGATGCTCTCTCTCCCCATCTCTAAGTTTAATAGGAATTCTGTCAAATATTTACCGTATTGGAGTGGATGATGCTGATTAGCTCATAGTTAGTTGGTTTTAGTAGTTGTCTTTTGTTGCCTTGGTTCGCTGTCTTGTTTTTAGCTCTGTTTTGTTGTAATTTCTTCTGGGCTCCCCCTGTTTCCTTTTGAGGGGGATGTCCTCCTCTGTTTTGCTTTTGTGTTCTATCCAAAAAAAAAAGAAAAAAGAATCATTGTATGGGTAATTGAACAAAATGTTGATGCGTGATATGATGATATCTAGAGCTAATTTACAATAAGAAAAACAACTGGTGTAATTCATAAGAGCTTTGCGCTAATTGCTGTGCCAATTTAATGACTTTGTCCCTTGGGTGTTTTGACAATGAGAATAAGCTTACATGGGATCTTGATCATTAAGTAAACTGAATGTATATTTATTTCTGTCTTTGGACAATGCTGAATATAACAATTGTTATCTTAGCCATGTTCAATATAACTTATATATATCATAGGTATGGTTCTTGCAAATGCAATTATGTACAAAAAAAAAATGTCATAATGTTGTATAAAATTAAACTGTTGATGCAAGAGCATTTCAGAGCATAAAAATGCATTGTTCTGTTACAAACACTTTCAAATGGAACATATTTCAAAATGATGCACATGGTCTGTTGGTAAAATCATGGATTTTCAAGGATTACTTTTGTCTCAAAACTTCTTAAGGCCACCTAGTGTAGCAAAGAATATACCAAATAAAAGAATCCATTTTAAAGATTGCAAGATCTAAGAGCGAATTCAGTCTGTTCAAATAATGTCTCTTGTGAAGAGTTGGCTGTGTAGTTAGTTTTCTTTATCACCTGAACTAAAAGAACTTGCGCTTGCTTATAGTTTTAGGTTTTTGTGCTAAGTGAATACCAAATCTGCTCGGCAATCATATGACATTCATCCACGTTGATAACTTGATATGATTTGAGGGGGTTGATGTTACTCTTTTTTCATTTTTTTTTTTTTTTTTTTTATATTTTAATTTTGAAAGTGACAATAATTTTGAAAGTGACAAAAGTTGACCCAATATCACCTAATTAATTTCATTGTATTTGTACAGATTAAGAATAAAGAATGAACATTGTGTTCCAAGGTTATTCAATGGAATGTGCTTTCCAAGTTGGGATAGTTTTCTAATACATCTCTCTTTGACATTGTTTGAGCCCCATTTATGTTGTCTATATTTTTCAAATGCACTTTAAGTTACCTCCTCCACAGTGTATGTTTTTTCTTTTGAAATTAGTTCATTTTTTATTAGAAAATGGTCTTAAGATTTGTGGGTATGAGTTTCCAAACCATGTAAGTTTGACCTCTTTCCTTGAATTTCCCTCAGTTTCGGATTGGTAATGAAAAAAAAAAAAAAAAATGGAAAACAAGGTTTTAGGATAGGATAAAATGTTATTCTTGCTTCAAAGCTTTGTTTTTGGTATATAATTTAATTGTTTTTTTATATACATTACTGTTTCCTCTGAACCATGATTTGAGGGGGTTGACGCTCTTTTGGATTCCTTCTCTATTTTTATTTTCTTTAATTTAATTTTGGTAGTGATAGAAGTTGACCCGATGTCAACTAATTATTACATTGTATTGGTAGAGAATAAGAATAAAGAATGAACATTGTGTTCCAAGGTTATTCAGTGGAATGTTCTCTTCAAGTAGGATAGATTTCTAATAACTCTTTGACATTGTTTGAGCATAGGTTATGTTGTCTATATCTTTAAAATTCACTTTAAGCTACCTCCTCCATAGTGTATGTTTCTTCCTTTTAAATTAGTTCATTTCCTATTAGAAAATGGTCTTAGGTTTGTTGGTATTAGTTTACAAATAAGGTAGACATTTTCAGATATTTGACCTCTTTCCTTGTATTTCCCCGAGTTTTTCGGATTGGTAAAGAAGAAAAAGGGGAAAACAAGGTTCAAGGATAGGATTAAATGTTATTCTTGCTTCAAAACTGTGCTGCTTTTGATATGATAATTTAATTGTTTGTTATATATTACTGTTTCCTTTGAACCATGGAAGTGGCGCATCTCTATGAGATTACACAATGTGTTGAGCCGTGTGACGGCACAAAAGTTCTGGATGAAGATGCTGTGGGGCTTCATGAGAATTATTGTTGAAGGACATTGAAAAATTCATTTGTAATAGTCTATTCCTATTTTAAAGTAGTACTGTGATTTTCTAAGTCATGTCGGATATTAATGGGATTTTCTTCCGGTGTAAATTCATGAAATGGAATTTTATCTTATGGTACAGAATGGGGAACTTCATGTGTGTTTCTTTTTGAACTTTGAGAGGTTTATATGACCACACTCCACAAGTTCCAATTTTAGAAGACAAGTATTATGGACTTCTTCTGCTCTTTTAGCTTAAAACACTATGAACAGATTCAGGAACTTCAGCTTTTGTGTATGGGTGTGTGTGTGTTTATATATATATATATATATATATATATATATATAAAACGGCAGTCTTTGAATGGTCGGTGTCAACAGTTCAATGAGATGAATGACTGTCATTGTGTAGGGACTGGGAAAGATAAGCCTTTCACCTCTTCCAGTGGTGGTGTTCTGTGATGACCCTGTGGTGACTTCTTCTGCTCTTTTAGCTTAAAGCACTATGAACAGATTCAGGAACTTCAGCTTTTGTGTGTGTGTGTGCGGGCGCGCGTGCGCGTGTTTATATATATATATATAGAAAACGGCAGTCTTTGAATGGCGGGTGTCAACAGTTCGATGAGATGAATGACTGTCATCATGTAGGGACAGGGTAATATGAGCATTTCACCTCTTCCGGTGGTGGTGTTCTGTGATGACCTGTGAACGGGTGTGTCGTGAGCAGATGCGAGACACTATCAGTTACACTATTTGAATATATTGTTTGCAAGAGTTTTCTCACGAGTATGTCTGGCACAATCTGCTGCGGTTGGATGGTTATTTCAGTATTTGTTGATTTCGTGATTGTGAAACAAATCTTTATGAAATGCTTGTACACTACTAGAATCAAATTCTGAGACACTGTTAATTTCTTTTTCTAAATATTTGTTTAAACCAAGTTTATGTAATTATTTCAGAGTTACTGCTGTCTTCTGGATTTATAATCTATATTCTTTCTTTTTATTTTTTTATTTTTATTATTCAACAAATGCTGAGTTAAAAGGAAAATTAAGAAAAAAAAAAATCATTATTTCCACGAATTCTGATCAATCAAGAAAAAATCCAATGGATAGGAGGTCAAGTAGAATACTCATGCGACACGTCAAGTATTTTTTCTCTAACCGTCACGTGACAGGTGCCCATCCTTTGTTGTCCTTCCATCCCACTCACCTCTACAGAAACCCCTTTACTCGTCCGTCTCTATCACCTCCTTCACTCACACAGTGAATATTGAGCAACCATATCAATGGCCTCTTCACGAGCTCTCACCACCGCCACTGGTCTCATGAAACTCCTCCGCCCTCACCTCTCACCTCAGATTGCCAGTCCCTTCCCTACTCGTTCACTTCGCAAAGTCTTCTCTTCTCCGGCGAGCGCTTCCGTAGCCAACTCCGATGTCTCCAGCGCCGTTGATCTGACGAAGCTCCTACCCTCACTGCGCTCTCCTCATATGGACGTCACTCCATTCACGACTCGTTCACTCCACACCGACGCTCTTTCCGCGAGCGGTTCCAAAGCCAAATCCGACGCTCTCACCACCGCCATTGGCCTGACGAAACTCCTCCGCTCACCTCCGATGGTCACTCCCTTCGTTTCTCGTTCACTTTGCACAGTCCCTGTTCGGAAAAGCAGTTCCAACTCCGATTCGGAGTCCCACGCCGGCCTCAGCTCCAAACAAAGGTTGCATAAATATTCTCATACTATTCCTCTTCGAACCTGTATGATCTGTGTAAAATTATTACTGTTTCCTTTACAATCTATAGACATCGCTCACGGAAGACGGCAAGAAGGCGATCCAGTGGCAACGAGAGCTCGAATTTAAGTTGGAGAAAACAGAGCTTTGATCCATCCATCTTTGCTTTTTTTTTTTTTTGGGGGGGGGGTTTTGGGTTTTCATCAATTAATCCTTCGATTTTATTTGGTTCATCTTCCAGTTCTGTTAGTGTGTGTTTTTTTTTTTGGATATATATATATTGAATGCATGAATGTATTTTGAAGCTTGTTCTCAGTCTAATCCCTGGAATTCATGAAGTTATTTCAAAGCTTTTGCACTGAGAAGGTGAACTTATGGTTAGTTTTGTTGTGATCTTACTTTCGTCTTGAATTACTTTTGCTTTAATTTTGTTAATTATGCCATCACTCTGACCTTTATGCTTTGTACTAGTCACGTTTGAACTTTTTGGCTTTTTATTTAATGTCATATAGCGGTAGCATATAAATGGGTAGGTATGCAATATTACCTAAAAATTTAAATTTTTAAATAAATGAACAATCACTCACTCATAACAATTGGTATCAAAGTCAAATCTGGTGTCCTGCTAAACGTCCGGCTCGAAAGGCTTCCGAGTGAACACATCAGGTAGCAACGAGGGCGTTGCGAGTTTGGGTGGGGGTGTAACAAGGGTCATTTGTCTCATATCGAATTCAGATAAAAAATGAGTAGGTATAGTATTACCCAACAATTTGAGTTTTTGAAAAAAAATATTTACTTTTGATATTTAGGTAAATGTACTCATTTTTTTCATTTAGCTTGGAAGAGTTTTTGTTATCAAATTTTATACTTTTTATGTAACTGTTACACTATGGATCATTGAAGCATGGCTGTAGCATGATTTTGGTTGGTTGATATCCTATTTTTATTCCTTGACAAGGTTGTTTTATATTTTAAGCTTGTTATTATTATTATTATTATTTTTATTTATTTATTTGTGAACTTGTAACAAAATTTTACAGTGAATTAGGTTTTGTAAAATCTCTTCGATGCAGATTAGGTTTATTTCATGTAAGAGAAACATTTTTGGATTTGGTAGAAAAGGAAAATATAATTTTTTTTTTTCAATTGAGATATAACATTACTCTTTCTCTAGAATGTGTGTGTTTTCAAATATCAGAATATCTAAATTTCACCCATCATAATCAGCTTAATGTAACTTCGTTGCAGCCACTGAGAATTCATGATGAATATAAAAGGACTCCAAATCCCTTGTGACTGGATTGTCTAGTCTTTGTTGAAGTCGTCTGAAAATCTTAAAAGAAATATGCCATTTTAACATGAACTTAATTCAATATACTTAATTAATTTAATTTTAATTCAAACTTTTTGGTTACCCTTTCCCAACCAGAATGATGCTTGAAAATCAATCTCCATAACCTGTGGCCCTTTCTCGTTCATTGTGATGGTAACAAATGTGTGTCCATTGACATTAGCAACTCGTTCCCTTTTTAAGTGCTGCTTATTCAATATATAATTATATTTAGTACCAAAATTTAGGGATACATGAGTGAATAATTTCAGGAGAAACAAGAACATAACACAATAAAGCATGAACATTACACTTATGTGACAATTACTTTTTATAAGTTCAACATAAGAAACTTAAATTAGTAATATTATATATATATATATAAATACTAAGTAATACATTAACTTTTTAAATAAAATATTTATTTTGGAATGAACAAAAAATAAAATATTCAAGACTTATTTTTGAACAAACGGAATAGTAGATTTTTTGGAATGAACAAAAAATAAAATGCTCAAGACTTATTTTTGAACAAACGGAATAGTAGAGGATTACTTGCAAAAAAACCTTTTGAATTACAAAAGTTGCAAAAAAACCTTCCTAAACCATGCGTTTTTGTTGCAGTTTACCCTATCCGTCTGTCCATATTCCACCATTAAATGGCACATGACAAGCACGTGACATGCTATATGAAATTTATGGACAATATTGTCCTTCTAACTCTGAAAGGGCTAAATTGCCCATCTTTTTTCCTATGGAAGCCAAACAAACCCTACTATAAATCTACACCCGTAAAAAGCATAACCACAATGTGTCACAAAGCAATCATCAAAAGGCCATTATTGAAGCCACGCTTGCTCCGACGATCGTAATTTCCCTTCGCCTAAGCCACTCCTCGTTGCGGCCACCAAGAATTCTGCTTGCAGACATGGATCTGATCACTGTATATCTCTCTATAAAACTCTCTCTCTCACTATTAAAAAATGTGCAAAAAAACACTCATATTCTTTGCACATTGTGTAAAAACACCCTCAACCACCACCACTGTGCAAAACCCATTTCAGTCAGGTGCATAAAGACTCTCAATTAGTGAAGCAAACTTCCCCCTTTCTCTCTCTACAATTTCCTACTCCTCTTAGTATCTCCTCCTCCTCCTCATCACGCACCTTCTCACCATCAGTCCTTCCCATGGCCTTCTGATAGCTGTATGATATATATATATATATACACATATAAAACGCGCACGCACACACATATATATGCATATAGTTTTTTGGGTTTAAATTAATTTTTTTTTGGGCTTGCGATAGGGAGTTCAAATGGGGGGTCATCGAGAAACATGGGGGCGAAGGGCTTTGATGTGAACGTGACGTCGCCGCAGCTGTGGTGTTGTCTTCGAACAGTGCGTCGTCGTCGTTTCAGATGGAGTTTTGCATTTACAGAGGCAGTGGGTCAGATGGTAATGGAAACATGAGGGACTCGCCAGAAGCGGCGGTGGGAAATGACGTAGTCGACGTGGACGAGAACGGTCTGGCTTGAAAAGAACTCCAGCGACCACAACATCCCGCCAAATGATGAACGACCATGCAGTTCTCTTCCAATCATCACTTCACCTGATTTTCTCGCCTGATTCGCACTCCATCTCACCGCCGCTTCAAACACCACCGATTACTTTTCTCTCTTAGCCAATATCAAGCACCACCGACACTACATTAGTGTCTCTACCCCAAATTGGGTGAAGTGTGTCTGTGTTAAAACTTAACAGCTAGATTAATCAAAGCCGTTTGATTTTGTTCTTTGTTCATTGAATTGAACTGATTCAAAGCCATGGCTATTCCTGATATTTTCTCTCCCCGACAATGGAGGATTTCAGGTGACCGACGGTTTCGGATTTTTTGTTCTCTCATTGTATCAGAGTTGAAGAAGATGGGTTTTGGACACCCTCTTTAGTCATTTCACATAAGATTATTGTTTTTATATATTTTATAAAATGTGTCATTAAAGGCATTTTAGTCCAATTTTACCCTAAATGAGTAAAAAGGACCTATTTGCACAAATATACAATATTCACTATAAGTATACTTGTTTTCTGCACTTAACCCAAATGTTGGTGTCCCGATGATTCATTATTTTTTTATTTATTTATTTTTTTTTATGTGTTTTTTTTTTATGTGTGTGTGTGTGTATATATATATATAGAAATCCGAACT